AAGCATGTCTAATGATGTGCTCAAGCTGTGCTCAAGCTGTGCTAGCTGGCGACAGTTCCCAGAACACAGAATAAAATTTGGATGGTGGGACAGGATCCCAAAATCAAGGCTGTCCTGCCTAAATGAATGTCGTTGGGATACCTGCATGTTCAAATACACAGAAATAAGTAAAGAAAATGTTTATTTTTGGCCTCCTTCCTGTTTCCAACCTTTTCTGGAGCCATTGTGGATTTCCTGGACTCGAACGGGAGCAGGATGATGAGTTTGTTGGTTCCTTCTGTCCCCAGTGAGGCTCTGTGTGTACACTGGAAGTGAAGTGTAATCACCTATTCAAGGTGCTGCCACATGAAGGAACAGCCAATCTGTCTGGTTGGGGCCTGCAGTGCTGTTAAATATGATCCAGTTTGGAGATACTCTTATCCTTTCAGCCATATCATATAATGTTAAAGATCCTGCGTGCTTGAGCAAGCCCCTGATCAGAGAATGTGCTCTATTGCTGCTTTATTGGCAGCGCTGAGTGTGAGAGTCACCTTATGGGCTCCCACAACCCTGTTCACCCCTGATTGTTGTGTTTTTGGCAAGTCCCCGGGCAATTGTTTGGTTTTTTTTCTTTTAAAAGTTATACATAAGTAAAAGTAGGGAATACTTTTCCATTATGTATAACCTGCAGGCTGACCTTCTTTATTTTTACTTGCCTTCTGTGTGCTGGGCATATTAAAGGACCACTCTAGGCACCCAGACCACTTCAGCTTAATGAAGTGGTCTGAGTGCCAGGTCCAGCTAGGGTTAACCCATTTTTTAATAAACATAGCAGTTTCCGAGAAACTGCTATGTTTATGAATGGGTTAACCCTTCCCCCATTCCCTCTAGCGGCTGTCTCATTGACAGCCGCTAGAGGTGCTTGCGTGCTTCTCACTGTGATTTTCACAGTGAGAGCACACCAGCATCCATAGGAAAGCATTATAATGCTCTTGCCATATATATAGCTCTTGCCGCGCGTGCGCATTCAGCCGACGGGGAGGAGAGAAGGAGGATCGGAGGAGGAGAGCTCCCCGCCCAGCGCTGGAAAAAGGTAAGTTTTTACCCCTTTGCCCCTTCCAGAGCCGGGCGGGAGGGGGCACCCTCAGGGCACTATAGTGCCAGGAAAACGAGTATGTTTTCCTGGCACTATAGTGGCCCTTTAATGTATCCTGACACAGGTAAGATGGCCACACCATTAAAGAAGACTCAGAGGGAAAGGTACGTTGCACTGGTCTCTTGGGCCAGTAAAGGTTATGTGGAGTGGATTGGGGGCTACAGGGAGGGATTCATAGGCTGTGGGTAAGGGTTCATTTTAATTACAGAGCCACCTTAAAGGGAAACTCCAGTGCCAGGAAAACAAATCCTTTTCCTGGCACTGCTGGTCCCCTCTCCCTCCCACCACCCATCCCACGTTGCTGAAGGGGTGAAAACCCCTTCAGTGACTTACCTGAGACCCCCGCCGATGTCCCTCGTGGTGGTTTTGGGTCCGCCCACGCTCCTCCCCTGCTGACATCATCCGGCAGGGGAGACCGATCGTGCATGCACGGCCGCCGGCGGGGGAGACCTAATGCGCATGCGCGCGCATTAGACCTCTCCATAGGAAAGCATTGAAAATGCTTTCAATGCTCTCCTATGGGGAATTGAGCAACGCTGGAGATCCTCACATAGCATGAAAACTGCATAAAACCTGTGCTAGAAACCAGGAAGTGTCCTCTAGTGGCTGTCTAGTAGACAGCCACTAGAGGAGGAGTTAACCCTGCAATGTAATCATTGCAGTTTATAAAAACTGCAATAATTAAAGCTGCAGGGTTAAGGGTAGTGGGAGTTGGCACCCAGATCACTCCAATGGGCAGAAGTGGTCTGGGTGCCTGGAGTGTCCCTTTAAGCTTTTGAATGTAGAAAATCTCCCACTGCTCCAAGTATTTTATGAAGATGCCACAACCACCTCATTAAGATCTTAATTTACCAGAAAAATCTTTGATGATCAATTTATCTCCATTGACGCTCAGTTCATCCATGCAACACAATTGTAAGACAGTCTGGATACATAAATATTTAGTTAATAAACATATATTTCAATTAACTGGTGATGCACCAGAACATACATACATAGTTTGCAAGTTAACAAGTAGTACTACTACTCATCCTACCTCTATAACCATGACTACAGCTTCTTTTAATTCAGTTCTGTTACATTTTTGTCACTATTTGTGTATTTTTTAAAGATAAACTTTGAGAGTACAGAAGTGATGTGGAGTCCTAGCACATGATGCAGCCGTTGTCCACAAGGAAAAGCTTCCAGTAAGTATTTATATTTGCTTCTGCTTCCCCTAACCACCACACACAAACAGGTCACCTTTAGAGATGTTTGCAAAATATGCCGAACAACTGAAAATGCAAGTTGAAAGCACACTCCAGATTGTGCTTTATGTGTAAAGAGTGTGTCCTATTTTTATCTTTTTTTTTTTAGAAAGTCCAGATTTCTGTAGAAACTGGCATTTTTATATATTTGCCTTGTTACACCGGCTTTGCTGTCAATCAAACAACCGGTACTGCTACTTCCTTCCTCCTGGTTTGTTTAGCTTAGTGGAGCTAAACTCAAGAGGCAGCAATTTTCCAGAGCACCTGCTTTGCAAAGACTTCTGACTGAGCTGCATTGGGAAGTCTGTGATTGGATAGCCACATAAAGTCTGGGCAGGGTTAGAAGGGGAGGGCTTGCAGCTTAATTGGAAGCTGTTGTTAGATATACACCCAATGAAAAAAATGCATAATTAAATGCATACATATTTTAATTAGAGGATTTTTCTTTTTCTTTTTTTTTTTGTATTTGGGCAGTGGAGAGTCTCTGTAAAGGGACACTACAGACACCAAAACAACTTTTGCTTAATTAAGCATTTGTGGTGTGTAGATCATGCCCCTGCAATCTCACTGGTTAATACTCTGACATTTAGGAGTTAAATCACTTTGTTCATACAGCCCTAGTCACAGCTTACTGCATGTGCACAGTCCTCCTAAATATGTCATGAAAAGGAAACTAGATGTTCTAGGTTACTGTATTGCACAATATGTCTAATCTAGAATTTCTGATCTCCTGCTCTGTTAATAGCATCTAAAGCATGGGTCCTCAAACTCCGGCCCCCCAGAGGTTGCTGAACTACAACTCCCATGATTCTCTGGCTATCTATGTAATTCAAAGAATCATGGGAGTTGTAGTTCAGCAACATCTAGGGGGCCAGAGTTTGAGGACCCATGACCTAAAGCCTACAGGAGCCCCCAATTTGAATTTGTCTGCTTGGCTTTACAATATGTATGTTTGTAATGTCTGTACATGTGGAAAAACTCAAATAAAGAATATATAATAGTAAAGTTCAATTTACGGAGCAGGACATGAAAACTTTTTAAGCAAGTTAATATCTGATTGAAAATTAAACCAATTTTATCATGCAGGCTGTGTCAGTCACAGCCAGGGGTGGTGTGGCTAGGGCTGTATAAACAGAAACAAAGTGATTTAACTCCTAAATGGTAGAGAATTGAGCAGTAAGACTGCAAAGGTTTTACACCAAAACTACTTAATTCAGTTAAAGGTGTTTCGATGCCTATATTATCCCTTTAACTTCCATGTTTTGTTGTGAAGGTATATAAGGCTTAGGCATTGTTCCTCATTTCTCTACTTCATCTACTTGAACTTATCTCCCCATTTGACTTTAAGACTCAACCAAGGTTTTAGCTATCCAATTCTATTGCCATTTTCATCTTTCAAATATTTAAAAGATTCACCCACTGATTCCATCTCCACTGTAAAGCCTTTTACCAATTTATTTTTCTTTACCAAACTTCACTTTTGCAATTAATTTCTCTTTGGCCTTCCTTTTACTTAAAAGGCTACTATAGTCACCAAAACAAATTTAGCTTAATGAAGCAGTTTTTGTGTATAGCTCATGCCTCTGACATCTCACTTCTCTATTCTATAATGACTATAGTGTTCCTTTAGTTATTTGCTTCAATAACCTCAAAATCTTGCTGCTGCTGCATATATTCTCCTCAATATATACAAACATACATATAAATGTGACATTTTGACTTTTACTCCAAACTATATTTTCAAATTACTTGCCATTTGGCCTAAATTTTGCACACAAAATAATAATCCAGTGTTCTGTGGATAAATGAGTTTGAGTCTGAAGCATGTCCAATTTCGATGTAATACGGATTCAAGCTGCAGCCACAAGATCTATAACATGAAACTGGCACAATTATGTTAAATTATGTTCCTTAATTTACTTTCTCATGCTCTGCGTATTTAATATTTCAAACTGTCTCACCGTGCTGCCTTCCCAGAAGCATTATTGGATTGCCTCAACATTAATGTTGCTGCCGGCATCTTCTATGATCTGATCCGAATGTTTGTGAAAGGAGTACCTATAGAGACTCCTCTTGATTTGAGAAGGAAGGTACACAATGTATATTACGCAAAGCTGAATTAAAAAAAATTATATTTGTTTATAAAGTTTAACACTTTGGTGGCCAGACTAATGCCTTTTTTATTTGTGGATTTCAACTTAAATTGTGAGAAACAGAAATAGGAAAGAAAGCTACAGTCATATGTGTTCTTGCACCTAGAAGAAATTAAAAAGTTACTGTAACCCTTTTTAATCAGTCTGTTTTTTTTTTTTAATGTAGAATTACTATTAGGTCTTCCTTCTTCCTATAAAATGAACGCAAACATCCTGGAATCGGGGGTGGGGGTGGGGCGGAGCTACAGGCTGCCTGAGAAGACGTGTTTAGCACAAGCTACATGCAAATCTAGACAAAAAAACAGCTTTTCAGCTTACAATCTTCTGTTACACCGACAGCAAAAGCTTCCACATATGGATCTCATAATGGGAAAACGCTTGCAAAAGAGACAGAACACCTGGGGACGCTGATCCCAAGATATCGGAGACTTACTGCTCCGGGGAGTGCCGCGTGCAGCACCCAAGATGGCTGACGTGGCCATGGAGACCGCCGATGAGGAGCCCTCACTGGATGCCCTTGATGAGCTGCCTCAGAAGGGGTTTACATCGCACGTCTCGGATGAAGATAATGATACGCCGACTACTAAGCGGGACATTAAATCACTGCTAAAGAACATTTGTTCCCTCTTCCAGGCAGACCTGGCAATAGTCTGGGAAGACATGCACTCCCTTACAGGCAGAACCCTACAAACCAAACAGGCTGCTCTGCAAGAGGTCCAGGACAAAACTATCCAGGCCCAACAAGGCATGGTAGCGAAGCTGACAGACCAGGAGGACAAAATCCGACGCAATAACATCAAGCTCAAGGGAGTGCCAGAAGAGGTAGCCATGGCAGAGTTACCCCAATACTTGCGCCGCTTGTTTCACCACACAGACCGCGGTCCACGGTCGGCAACAAGCTGCTGCTTTGCCACACGCTCGGGAGGCGCAAAAATCCCGGACGGACGGACCTACCCTTCCAAGTGCCTTTCACTCCAGAGCCGGTCCTAGCTCCACCAAAGAAATCCATAGGTGGGGATAATTCCACCAGCGCTGTGTCAATAGAGCACTATTTTCTGCTCTACTCTTGTGAGTATATTTTATTTTATTTATTTTATTGTTCCTACTGAGAGCACTATTTGCTGTTTCTTATACCTTGTGAAATACGGCGGAACCCAAGCCGGACGGACGGACGGACCTACTCTTCCAATACAGACACAAGAAAAAAACTGAAAGGTACAAAAATAATGTGAATCACCAAAAGTGATAGTAAATAAGTAAATACAAACTGGATTATGTTGATATACTTTAGATTCAGAAATACATCTGTAAAAAATACACAAACAATATATAGTGTGATATTGTTAAAGCCACTGGGAAATTGAAAGTGGTAGAGAACAAAAATGGAATGAGATCAGGCATATCTCCCTCTGTGTTAGGGGACTGGAGAGTGTGAAGGACCTTCAGCGATGAATCCAATTATATAATGGCAAATCTTCTAATTCACTCCAAATGGAAAGAAGAAATAGAAATAGATAGTGCAGATTGTATAAGGTAACAATTTATTACATGTTTTGCACTTACAATGTATCAGAATAAAAACAGCTTGTCTCCACACTGGGTGGTATTCACTTGTAGCAGCTGAACCAATCAAGATACATAATCTGGAGCAGTAATAGCAGCAACCAAACAATATTAAAATAAAAGTTCAGTACAAAAACAAAATAAAAACAGTTCCAACGCGTTTCGTCCTCCTCTGGACTTCCTCAGGGATGTGTAGCTGTGATGGGATTGGGAATCTTCTTAAATATCCACCATCTGATGGCTCACATGTTCGCCGGTGTTGGCGTGCGTTCCACCTTGGAACGCATGTTACTTCCGCATAACAATATCACACTATATATTGTTTGTGTATTTTTTACAGATGTAATTCTGAATCTAAAGTATATCAACATAATCCAGTTTGTATTTACTTATTTACTATCACTTTTGGTGATTCACATTATTTTTGTACCTTTCGGTTTTTTCTTTTTCTTGTCATTGTTGTCATTTGAGTGTTTATAAGGGAACACTTATAAACCTTGGGTACTGTGTGCATCATAGCACTGACAGTTAACTGCTTGTTTTTTGTGTATCTATTCTTCCAATACATCCTGTTGTGGGGATTATACCACTAAGTGCCCTTCACCCCAGAGCTGGCCCTAGCTCCACCAAATGTGAGTTTACAATCCTCCTTTTACTTATTTTTACCCTTGGAGCTACAATATGTCACCATTGGCAGTTTTTTGTGTTTTCTTTTATCTCCACATACGGATTATCTACAACCTGGACGGATCAACTCCTGAGGATTGTACACATACCCTATCCATATATCAGTGAGACTGTTTTTATTGATTTTATTCAACATTTTTTCTTATCATTTGATTTTTATTGAACATCTGGATGGACTCTGTTTTATTCATTATTTTTATATAATTGTAATAGAGACTATTATACCCAGGTTTTATTACTTGTATGGTACTGTTCTCTGTACAATAGTGCAGTCCTTAACTCCTCTTTTTTTCTTATCATCTCACCAAGGGTCTTGAGGGATTCCCTTTTAGGGTTGCTGCTCTCTTCTCTGTTATTAAGTGCAGACTTTTTCCCTCTGTTTATACGTTTATTCCTACATACTACCTATGATATGCTCCAGAATGTGCAACACACTCTTACTTATCCACTAATTGTTATCACTACAAAAGTGTTAATGCTAGAAATGTGAAAGGCTGATAACCAAAGCACTCGCTTACAAATGTCGGCTGAAAGCGGCACTGTTTATGTTTTTAGCCCCAGTTTGTACCTCCAACTCAGAGACCAGAGCCAGTTAAACTCACTGCTCTGAGATAACGCTACCTCCTAACCAGCCTCTACATCCTAACGAGCCTCTAATAACCCGCAATACCCTTCAAGAACTCTCTCAGTTGGGCTAATCCCATATAGGATAAGCATTAATACAAAAGAGAGCAAAAAAGGTTAGGTCATAGATACATAGGTCTAGAGAATTCCAGATCTAACCTTTAGTTAGAAACTAGTCCCAAGGGGCCAAAGACCTGACATATTACTACCAGACAAGGTTAAGATGGAGGAACAGATTGTCGAATCGAATTCCATTCTGTTAGACTGTTCATCAAGGATAATGCAATTTCTAATTAAACTAGAACTGGAAAGTTTGGAAAAGATCAATGGGGATATGGAAATTAAGAAAGTAAAAACTTTTGAAAAGGAACCTAATTTTACAGCAATGGAAGTAAAATTACAGAAAAATCTGGAGAATTTTAAGAAAAATATTACACACAAAAAACATTACAAATTCCAAAGAGACTTCAGGGACTTTCAACGAAATATTTTAAAAAATAAACGCAGATCCTGTAACATCAGGACTGGTAATAAGGGGTTCTCTTCTTCGGAAGAAACTGAGTGGTCCTAATCTGAAACAAGACCCCAATATAACAAAAAGGCCCCCTTCAGATGTACACAACAATCACCTCCAGCTCAGACTAAAGGGATTCTGAGAAGTATGGATAGAAATATCTCCTTCTCTGATACCACTACACTTTCTAATCCAGATCTACCATTCATGCATGAAACCTCCTCTGGGTCGTCCCAATCCTCTTTGTCTTTTTTAGACGAGGATTGGCCACGACCACAAAGAGAGCGACTCAGGGACAAAACAAAGTGGGGGACCACAAGTCCAACTACCAATAGATAGAAAAATGGATGATAATAAAATAAACCATTTATCAAATTTCGTCCTACAGCCTAGACATTTATCCCTTTTAAATAAAGGTTTATCATTTGTACCTACACCTCCCAGAGAAATGTTCAACTGGGCTAAAGATGTTAATCTTTTTGGCTGTAAATTGGTCCTCCACGCTTTTCATGAAAAAATAAATCTTAAAACTTTAAAAGAAATGGGTCTTTTTACAGAAGACCATGAATTATATAAACTTCTGACTGACTTACACTCTGAAGAAGTGACCAACTCTCTCACTGATTTTAAACCTCTGTGCTGGTTTACCCCTAATTTGAAAGAATTCCCCTGTATAGATTTGTTTGTTCAAATCTGCACTTATGAGTTAGAATGTCAAATGATTAGACACCCACAGACATCAAATTTAAATTTTGGTGAAAGACAAGCCCTACAGGAACTACAACAACAGTCGGAGGTTGTAATTAAATCCTCAGACAAAGGGGGGAATATAGTTCTTATGCAAAAAGAACAATACATTGACATGTGCATTGCACATCTGTCGGATGGTTCTGCCTACCAAACGAGACCACACCACTGGGTTTCTAAAATAATTGCAGACATTAGTACAAGCAGCTCTAACAGATAAGGTCATTACACAAAATGAATACAGATATATAGTGTCTCAATCCAACATAACTGTGGCTACCTTCTATTGTCTCCCCAAGGTACACAAGGATTTGTACAAACCACCGGGGAGACCCATTGTGTCTGGCAACCATAGCCTGACAGAAAGAGCCAGTAAGTTCCTGGATAAGTTATTACAACCACTAATACAAGGCCTTAGTTCCCACATACGAGAAACTAAACAGACTCTGCTAGCCCTTGAGAACCTCACAGTACCCCCATACACGTCATGAGCTAGTCTGGACATGGTGGCATTGTATAATAATATTCTACACGAAAAAGGACTAGCAGGTGTCGCTTATTTTCTGGAAATTCAAGACTTTTAATGAACAAGAACAGTCTTTCATTTTGTCTCTTCTTAATTTTGTATTAACTCACAACTATTTTACATTCAATGGCAAATATTAGTTACAGTTAAGAGGCACGGCCATGGGGTCATCGTGTGCACCTAGTTATGCCAATTTATTTTTGGGATAGTGGGAAGAAACCATAGTGTATACCAGCATCAATACCAAATTCATTACATCTATATATAAATGGTATAGATATATAGATGATGTTCTAATTTTTTGGTTAGGCTCCTTTACACTGTTTGAGGAAATGGTAGATCAACTCAACAAAAATGAAATAAATCTGAAACTCACCCACGTCATTGATGAGAGAGAATTAGTCTTCCTGGATTTAAAGATCAACATCTTAGAAGATGGGGAGGTGACTACTTCTTTTTTTAGGAAACCTACGGCTTCCAACAGCTTGCTACATTGGCATAACTTTCACCCCTATCATCTAAAGGCCAATATCCCATACGCAAAAAAATAGAACAAAAAAGCGCAATATAAAATTAAATTGTCTGTATGACACCAAATATTAAAAGTCCAAAGATAAAAGTATGTAGCTGCCAGACATAAAAGGTTATTCCGCAAACCTATGTGATAGGTTTGCGCCCGTACTCTTGAAAAAGCCTGCTGAGTACAGGCGGAACACATGGATGAGTTAGAGGCCTTTCATCTTATCTTTCCAGGCAGACACCTTTGGTAGTAAGTGCTTTGTCATCCCTCCATTTGAACTTGCAGCATTTCGGCTAGATCCGTGGACATTTTCTGAATTTCTGCTGCACAACAGAGTGGTAATACTTTCAGCACACTGCTTATCTGCTACATATTCTGGACTCTGTTTGGATTCCTTGATGCAAAGTAGGATTTAAACACCATCTTTTTTTTACTGTGATTTTTTTTTAAATGATTTGGAGTTTCGTTTTTACATGACATTTATAAACTGTGTTGCACTTTCTTTGCTTGGTTTGTATCTTTGAAGATATGTTACTGTGATCACTGCTGTTGGATACAAAGTTTACACAGAATACTCCTAATTTCCTAAACCACCACTGTGGAGGTGGAAATCATACACATTTATCTCAATACCCAGCTTCCCCACAAACACTTATTTGGGGCTATTGCACAGCGCTGACATTTATCTACTTTTGGACAATATCTGAGAGCGAAAAGGAATTGCTCCAACCAGGAGGATTTTGAAAATGAAGCAAAAGAACTTAGAAGTAGATTCAAAAGCCTTGGCTATCCCAACAGGATTTTAAAGA